ATATTATTGGACAGTAATCCTCCCGATTTTTAACATGTTTGCTATGGCAACGCCAAACAAGTCTGACACCCTTTCCGACCTCTTTGACATTGAGGAAGAGGAAGTAGACTATATTAGTGATACCGATTCCAAATCCAGCACACTTGTGCTCGACAACAGGACGAGTCAGGAACTTATTCCGGTCTCCGAAAGTAGGGCTGCTGATGATTCGACTGTGCTGCAAATGTAACCCGGTATGGGGTCGCAATCATCATGAAACCGCTCAATAAAACATTTAAGCAGGTACTCTAACAAAAGAAGAGCGCTCAGCGCATATCTCAGATCATGACGACGCCCAAAAGTCAAAATGACCTTGTGTTCATTAATGTGGAAGAATATCTCCCAAGACTATAAACCAACCTTTGGCATTTTAGATCATTGCTCCAGCAGCTGATACACCTGAAGAGGTCGAAGCGCTCGTGTCACTATGCAAAATATACCTTGTGCCATATCTTATGACTCCAAGTCTATGCAAGCAAAGGTTTTAAAAAAGGCTCATGGAGCATTAGTTCCACCGATAAATGGAGACACGTACTTCTTTAGGTAAGGTAGTTGGCAATTAAAGAAGACAATGCTTTATGCGCTACTTGCATCGAGCACGACACTTATGAAGTATGTATGCTTTCAAATCAAGCGCTGGCAAGGGATACGTGCGTCTCAAAAAGAACTCTATCATTAATTAGACATAATAAGGACCAGAGCCAGCTGCGGGAAGCGTTCCACTAGCACTATGCTGCGGCTGTGTCGATAGCTGCGACTACACAATAAGTTTCGACCGTAGACCAACCTGCTGCTCATATTAATGGTGAGAAGTGTAAGGGTCCCGAGTTGACTTCTACCATGGCCCTCAAAAACTTCCACGACATACAGGCAATCTTGACGAAGGAGTGTCTCATGCCTTCATGAGTTCTTAGACTCGGGTTACCCCCTCAACTTCAGCAGATACTGGTTATGACCATAAAGGCGACATCGTGGCAGTAACATATTCAAATAAAACTTGAGGTTCCTTTGCTCGCAATGAAACGCTGGAGGCGGCCACGGTGTCGGCTGCATCTCGCGTAGCGCTAATTCATTATGTGAAAAATCTTTGCTAGGGTTTGTGTCAGATCCAGCGCACGTTATAAGCGGTGCAAGCTCTTCTGTTGACGTCTGGGACGAATAAAACACGAATAGAAATGCAATTATGACCTCCTAATTTGGGTGCAGCAACCGTGGGGAGTCTTTTTCCGCTGCGCATGTGTGGTGGAAAAGAACTAAACTCCTGCGTGTTGAGCATTTATAACAATCACAGCGCCGGACTGTCGCTTTACGGGGGGGGTACTTTAATTGCTCGTCTGGAACTTGACTCATTTTCTTTACCCGATGGATTGCGAGTTGAACTCTTCGGTTTGACTCGGACAGAGAGAAAGACTATCAGGTCTTACTAGAGTTAGACCTAGCCCCCAGAAGATATACTGCACTAGTTGGGTTGGTTACTGGACACTTAGTCTGCCCAGTTGAGAGTGGAATTATAAACGAGTTCTTCAGGTAGCTTGTCGCTCCTGTCCTCTTCTGTGCTTTTTGACCGTGTGGTAGAGAGACCGGTCCAGAAAGCGGTATCAAGCAAGGTTTGTCACTCGAAGAATACACAGATCAGAAACTTCCTGGGATCTTTCTGCACTTGGGTCTTACCTCACCACTGTATTCGACGGAGGGTAAACAATCTTTACCCAAACAAAGCGGGTAAATTGCCAAATTTTTTGAGCACATCGAAGTTGTGCACGTGTATCGAAAATTGAGTTAGTTTTAAGCTTGTCCTATCCATTTACTTCTTTACTGTAACCTGTACTTGTTAATTGTTTTTTTGCGACTAGTCAGGGGCAGCCGAATATAAAGAAACCAGGTATACCGATAAGGGACCAGGTCTACCGGTGAGGGAGCAAGGTCTGCCATCGATAAAAACCCTGGTATGCCATTGATTCTTCATCTGCTAGTGAGGGACCGCGGTCTACCCTTATGGACCGCGGTCTTCTCTTAAGGACAGGATCCGCAAATGAGAGCTTGTAGAAATCTCCTTTCGGCACCTTTTCCGATATTCGAGAAACGGAATTTTTTCCTGATTGGGTCTGCGTTCTTCTAATTTCCAGAGAAATAAAATATTTCGATGAACCTTCTCCCCGAGTATCTTTCCCTGAAATTGTCCTCTTGTCCCTTCGTCCTAATAGTCTTTGTGCCCATCATCTTTTTCGAGCGCACTTCACCACAGCCGCCCCTTGCACATACTCAGCCGGACAGCAGTTTAAGCAAACACGTGTCGGCGATTCTCTTTTTTTGTAGGTTTAAATGCTTGATCTTTCTTTTTAGATATTTGTCGGATTGATGTAGTTCTTACTACATTATCATCCAAGTCGACCTATCTTCTGAGGAAACCCCTTCGGTTAAACACACTACTGGTCAGCCTGACCGCTTTTAAACCTTTTGTCGTAGGATATCGCGACCGTTGCTTCTCCCCAACTTTGGTCGCGTCAATGAAAGATCCGGTCTTCTCCATGTTGAGAGTAGGAGTAAAGTAAAGTAAACAACTTGAAAACTACCGCGCACCAGACGCGTTTCGGTCCCCCGTCAGGGGCCTCATCAGTGGTTTGTCAATCTACAAGTGAGAACTATCAACACATCTAGCTGCTATACGACCTATAGTAATGCATAAAGCCCTAAAGAACATTCTACACATACCCTTTCATGGGTCGAATATCTGGAGTCGAAACCAGTGCCTCATGCTCTTCCAACATTCCACTCAGTCGTCCGTATCGATGGTCGAATCGTCTGCCACTCTGACCCCGACGGTGAGCGAACTGGTAGCCTCCACTCAGTCGGCCGCCACGACCATCGATTTGACTGCCACTGTGGCTGCATGGTGGGGAAAGAGAAAACGAACCGATAACGTCTGCCCCATCGACCACCAATTCTGCTGCCTCACCTGCCGCGCTAGTCGCATCGGTGTATGGCTCATCGGACTCCAAATCTACCGGCCGCCAAGACTTGCAGCACACCGGTCATGTTTCCGGCATCAATAGGCGTCTCGGTACATTCTAAATCGTCGTCCATCACGGCCGTAGACTCATTCACTTTGAATTCCTACCTCCGATCTGTGCACCGGAACTCGTATATCCTGCAAGCTGGGGTGGCAGCTCATGCGCGCCACATGGAGGTATTTAAGCACAGGGTCACGTCGTCTGCTCTATCCGGCGATTACTGAATGGCTCGATTTGGACGACCTGAGGATGAGCTACGGGCCGCTCCAGAATGACGACCTAAATCAACGAGGAGTAAAAGCATGAGCTGACGATGATTGTACATCTATGATGGCAGATCCACAATCCTCAGACCCAAATGACTCTCTTAATAGTCCCAGCTGGAAGAATCCTCTCGATCCTCTAGTAAGAAATTGGTCCCGCCGGAGGAATCGCCCCGCCAAAAGGATCAGTGAGGAGAAAGTTCTCAGTTCGTACGACACCCCGTACTCCCATATTTTAGGCAAGCATCCTCGTCGGACATCCGTCCGATTGTCCGCCCACTTAAAGAAGACCTCAAAGCTCTCGCGCAGCAGCCATTACTGCTTCGTCGTTTCGTTCTCTAAAAGCGCTGGTGAGTCCTTAGTCTCCCGTCAATTTTGAACCTTTTGATGACATCTTTATCGTAGGCAGCGAAATGGTGCGGGCGACCTTGACCAAGTCGCGGTCTTCTACTTGTCGCTATGATTAAACATTTTTAGACACGGTTTTTTCCCTCCAGTCCCCAGTATCTCAGTCGATAAGTGGCCAATCCGGCCTGTAGACTATTTGGTCGCCGCGTCGGCCGCGTTGTCGAACACGGGATCTGCAATTGCAACGAAGACTTTGGTGATTTGGGCGATGTCCGGGTCTTCGAGATCCGACCTGGAGTAGGCATCCGGAAATATTTGGACAACTAGCGAACGTAGGTGGTCCAGATCTGTATTCGACAGAGGACCATACGATACCGCCGGAGGACATGATCCGCGGTCTTATGAAGATAGATACTTTCGTTAATGAGGAAGTGACGAGTGACCAGCGTACCTGTTTAAATTTTGAAGCATTTTGACGATAAGCCAAGCGACCTGGTCGGCCTTCTTTGTCACGAGGTGGATAGTTACATGACAATTAAAAAAAATTGTTATAGAGCATGACTATAAGAGTTAGATTCTCAGAATATTGTCATAAGAGTTAGATTCTCAGAACATTGTCATAATTTTCTGCAGCACTTACGAGTAGTTCCTAATTGGTTAATTTAGGCCATTATATCAGTCAAAGAAGACGCGCCACGACCGACGCACGCAATGAGTGGTGAGCAGATAGGTGATATACACATTTGTATCCAGACATAGTTAGATGAGGAAAAATAGTGTTTTATTAAACAGACATTAACTATCATAAATACAGTCCTACTTTTTGCTTTAACCAAGTACTCGCTTCTTCTTACCGTCTTCCTCTGCACGTACGAGTGTACGTGAAGTTCCGAGGCACCGCCTTATTCTGTCATCAGAATAAGTAGCTTGTACTGTCACCAGTACAAGCTTCAGGGTGCCCCGTTACACCTGGTAGCACTTCGTAGTTCGTCCAAGGACCACGTTCACATCTAACATGAATATGTTGGATGATGAAGATGACCAAAGCTTTCAAGATACGCGTGACGGCTACTCCCATTTGAGCGATGTCGAATGGGACGCGGTTGAACGAATGGGTTCAACCATGAGCATCCATGCTGTTAGCGTCATGCTAGAGGCTCTCAATAGAGATGCCCAACATGCTGCTATCGCCAAGTTCATTCAAAATGAACTTGACGCAGAACGCGATAAAGTAGCCTTGCTTCACTAACAAGGTTCTCAACAATCAGAGTTGTTGAGAGAACAGAGTGCTCGACAGTTTGAACTGTTGAGACAGCAGCAGGCTGCTGCTGGTGGGTCGATGCACTCGCGTCGACCCGAGACCTTGAAGATTGACATCTCCAAGTACAGGGGAGTCGAAGAGAACTCCCTCTTGAGATGGTTCGTCGAATTGGATGACGCCATAAGAGCGCGTCGCATCGACGATGGGGAATTGCAAGATGCATTTGCCCAAGTAAATCTGGCAGGACGTGCCAAGACTAGGGCACTAGGGCTCAAGTTGCACGACCCATATGCGTTTGGGTCGTTGGAAGTCTTCAAGTCGCGGCTCAGACAAACGTTTGAACCGCCTGGAGTTGAGTTCAGAGCTCGAACCAAACTCTTGAAGCTCAAACAAGGTAAGCGTGATGTGCACGCTTACGCAAAACGTATACGACATCTCACGAGTTGTATTTGTTCCAACCCGGTAGATGAACACACGTTGGTTTCGGTGTTCATGCAGGGTCTTGCGGATGGTCCCGTCAAGACTCACCTGTTCCGACTTGAGCTGGATTTACTAAAACAAGCCATTTCCGTTGTAGAACAGGAAGACTTCAGTCTGAGACAGGCTCGAACCAGCTCGACATCATATCGTACACCGAGACGATATGACAGCGGAGGTTCAGAGCCGATGGAACTCTGTAATGTAGAGAGCGAGAAGGCTCGCTCTACAGACTACAAGAAGTTGCAGAAATGCAATAGGTGTCAAAAGACAGGACAACACGCTTACGAGTGTAGTGCCCCTCGTCCAGTGTCTCGCGACATTGGGCGTAATGACCGTCCACCCATGAAAAATGGGCAGGAACGCGGGTCCGCAGTTGGTGCAAGGACGCAACGACGGGATGGACCGTCAAAAAAACGGACAGGATCAGTAGGTGCGGAGCACCCTCCTGGTCCAGCAACTTCATGAGAATTTGTAGGCCTCTTGATGAAGGTTGCTCCCAACACACAAATATTGTGCGTTGCTGCTGTAGGTAATGAGATCTCACTCATTACCTTGAAACTCGAAGTGACGAATAAGTTGTCCCTTCGAGTTCTAGTCGATTGTGGGGCGTCCAACAATTTTGTGCGACGCCAATCACTAGAAGATAATCATTTTAAGTTCAGTGAATGTGACACACCTCCTACGAGGATGACGGTGCGTCTTGCGACAGGCGCATCCGTAACCGTCATGAAGCGTATAGTGAAGATCCACTATACGCTAGAAGATACCCAAAATGACGATGACTTTATCGTATTGGATTTGGATGACAAATTTGATGTCATACTTGGAATAACGTGGCTCAGAAGGTACGAACCACGGGTTAACTGGCAACATCAAATAGTAACGATGCCTGCCGCTTGTTCGTCAGATGGCCATCTGATGAACGTTTTGGAGCGTCCACAAGCGTGTGGATGTACTAAAAGTGAGTGCGATGGCCTCACTTGTAGTACGGTCGTTAGTACGACTGCACGAAACCTTAGTGTAGCAAACAGTTACACTTTGGAGCAAGCTTCCGGCGGCTGTGAGGAAGTACAGGCTGCGCCGAAGGTCCACCACTCGAATAAGTCGAGTGGACCGGGACAAAGATGTATCCCTAGTGGGGAACATCTAGAAGAGAAATCATCGATCGATCAGGTTAAGCGAAACGAGAATCCTCGATCGACTGGAGAGTACTTCGTAGAGGATCTCGCTGTGGTTGCGCAGCCACAGCTATAGGAAATTAATGGAATAAGTCCTGATATTACAAATGCGGCGGAAGTAAGTTCCTCGAAACCCGCGGGAAAAGGTCCCCGGGAAGCCGAAGGAATAAGTCCTTCGAGGCCTGAGGGAATAAGCCCCCAGGAAATGACAGAGACATTGAATGACATAGTCAATAACGGATCAAGTGTAGGCGCTTATACACTTGATCTGATTGCGCCTCCGAAGTTGACTTCGGAGATCACTCAGTTGCCAGCGCTCGAACATAAAAGGTTCTTGCGTGATCTGTGTTGTGGCAAAGTCAAGCAGATCTGCGTACTCGTCGCTGACGACGAGTGTGTAGCCGACATAAGATCAGCAACAATGTTTACTGAGAACGAGAGAGTTCTCAGTAGTTCATCTATGGACGAGAGTGTCCTAGATGAAAAGACACGAGTTGAGCGATATGACTCCCAATCGTGGGAATCGCTCAAGACAAATCCTCTCTATGAAGATTTGGTTGAGTTCAAGGATGTATTCCCTGAAACTGTTCCGTGAGAGTTACCGAAGGATAAAGGTACTCGACACGAGGTCGAGCTTAAACCAGGCTCGAAGTACTGTGTCATGAAGCAGTAGCCACTGCCTTGTGAACAAGTACTTGCGATCGACAAGTTCTTTGCCGATCGTTTAGCTGCGGGCCATGTGAGGGAATCAACTTCCCCACATGGCTCTCCGTCCTTCTGTGTGCGAAAAGCAACAGAAGGGTGGCGGATTGTGCATGCATTTAACAAGTTGAATGCTGCAACGGTACCGGCTCAGACGCCGATACCAAGGAAGGACGTAATCATTGATGGTATGTCAAAGAGTACCATCTTTTCGTCCATGGATTTGATGGATGGCTTCTATCAAATCCTTGTGCGAGAACGGGACATACTCTATCCCGCAGTGAGCACGCCTAGCGGCATGCTCTGGGAGTGGCTAGTAATGCCACAAGGGCTTAGTAATGCCCCTGCCACATTTAGCAGATGTGTATCACATCTGTTGAGACCAGTACGAGAATTCGCACTGAGTTATTTCGACGATGTCTTCGTCCTAAGCTGGGCTATGGATGGAAAGACGGATGTTGAGGTTCATAGATATCACGTCCAACAGGTTCTTACAATCATGCGAAAGCGTCAATTGTATGCAAACCTCAAGAAGTGTATATTTGCAGCAAGCGAAATACCACTTTTTGGGTGCATCGTTGGTAAGAACGGTGTACGTCCTGATCCCGAAAAGATAAAGGCGATCACCTACTGGCCTGTGCCGGTTGATGTCAAAGGTCTTCGAAAATTTCTTGGGCTAGCGGCGTATTTGCATAAGTTTTCACGCAATTATGCCGAGATGACTGTGCACCTCTCTCGTTTGTTGAAAAAGAACGAGAGGTGGTTATGGAACGCTGAATGTCAGCGCTCCTTTGATGGTATCAAGCAGATCTTGATACAATCCCCAGTCCTAGCAATAGCCGATCAGGACAGGCCATTTCATGTGGTCTGTAATGTCAGCGATTTCGCAATCGGCTGTGCATTAATGCAGTACGATCTTGAAGGCGTTGAACGCGTCGTCTGCTATCAGTCGCGTCAGCTGCAACCAGCTGAGCGGAACTATCCAGTGCATGACAAGGAACTCCTTGCCATGAAGTACGCACTCGAGAATATCAGAGTCTATCTATTAGGAGATAGACCCTTCATTGTTTACACTGACCATGCGTCGTTACGCACGGCAGTGAACAGCCCGCACCTTTCACAACGAATGACGCGGTGGTTGTCATTCTTTGCAGAATACAACTTTACGGTCGAGCACAAACCAGGACGACTTAATGTCGTCGCTGATGCACTCTCACGTCGTCCCGACTTTGAACCAGTCGTGAGACCCAACAGTGAGACAGCCACTGTTACGGTTATGACGTCCTCAGCACCATCTTAAACGTTACATGATGATGTGAGGCGGGCGTATGCCCAGGGTGGTGAGATTGTAAAGTTGCTGACACATCTCTCACAACCATCTCGAGAATCGTTGAAACGATTATCGTCTGCGTATCGATCTGAATCAGATCGATACACTACTCGCAACGGTTTACTGTATTCTACAGCCGTTACTGGTGACACACGACGTGCTGTCATTCCAGATGATACTGATCTGCGTTTGCGGATCATGTTCGAGTATCACGATGCTCCTATAGGAGGACATCGTGGCCGGGAGAAAACGTATCTCACGGTGAGTCGAGACTTTTACTGGCCCCGCCAGTATCAGTTTGTGCGCAAGTATGTTCGCGCATGCGAAGTCTGTCAACGAGTGAAGTCAAGTCCTTCACTGCGTGCACCTTTACAGCCTCTACCGGTTCCGGCTGAGTGCTGGGAATCCATCTCAATGGATTTTGTCTTCGAGTTACCTAAAGACGCACGCGGGAATACGGGTATTCTCGTATTTGTTGACAGATTCAGCAAAATGGTACACCTTGTGGCTGTACCATAGTGAATCACAGCAAGTGGCTGTGCTTGTGTCTTAATCGACACCATCTTCCGACTTCAAGAGTTACCCCGTGAACTCGTATCAGACAGAGATCCACGCTTCACAGCTAGTTTCTGGCGCTCCGTGTTCAAATCACTCGGAACGCGCTTGAAGATGTCGTCATCTGATCATCCAGAGTCAGATGGTCAGACGAAACGTGCCAATCGTGTCCTTGAAGAGATACTTCGAGGATACGTACATTTCTTTAAGAGTTGGAGTGAGTTTTTGCCAATGGTAGAGTTTGCCATGAACAACTCGGTGCATGCGTCCACGACACATACACCGTTTTACGTGAATGGCTTGCGCCATCCGCGTGTACCCACCTTACTCGAGTGTAACTCTGGTTTAACGGGGGGAGGGACTCGCGCGAGCAAAAACCGATTTGGTTCACGCTCATCACGCTCTGACGAAGAGGTCATTGCGTTTGATGCCGATATCGATAACACCGATATCAAAGAAGATGATGCCAGTGAGAGTGCGGAAGCCCTCACTGAAGAAAAAATTGATGTTGCTGCAGTGCAATACAGCGCACTGAAGCTAACGAGTCAGCAGATGAGTTCATACTGGCTCGTGAAACGGTAGTCCGTTTTGTGCAAGACTCCATCGCCGAAGCGGTGGATAAGCAAAAGCAAAACGCAGACAAGAATGGAAGGGCAAACACTCTTTTAGTTAATAAAAGTGACTTAGTCCTACTGTCTACGTTCAACCTTCCAAAGCACGTAGTGACTAACCTGGGTAATAGTTTACTTCTACCCAAGTACATCGGCACATTTCGTGTATTGCACCGCCTAGGCAACGCATACACGATCGAACTGCCACGTAAGATGCGAACGCATCCCAAGCTTTACGTTGGTCGGCTTAAGCCGTACCGTCAGTACGCTGCTTCTTCCGATGAAGAACACCCTTGCGCTCAAGCATCTCACAGAGAGCTATGTGCTCCTGATGGTAAATATCAACAAGGGTCTCAAGAGCAGTCATTACAGCCCGAGATCATTAAATTTTCACACTAGCTACCCTAAGCTCATTACGCAGAGATGTCAAAGCTCTCTCGTTCTCAAGATGATCAAAGGCATACTCAGCTCGATGCTTCAAGACAGTGTTCGCCTGATGAAGACGCCTGTCACGCTCATACTCGAAGTCGTCGTCGTAACACAAGAATTACGCGATCAAAGAGGCTTTCGGAGACGCACGCTCCCCCACGATAGCTTGGACAGCGTCTCTCCTCCTCCCCCACCTCCTTTGGAGGACTCTCGCGGTGGCCAGCGCTTTCTGATTAAGCGGATGTGAACCTCCGCGATGTGAACGGACGTCGGACGAGTCACCAGTCCGGGGCGCGGTTATCTCCCGTTTTATGATACTTGGTAGCCACGCTCCCAACTGATGATTGACGTACTGGGTCTGGTCGAGCAGTCCGACGCGGCACATCCTGTGCCGCAGAAGGACCGCCGGAGAAATTCTTCCCGGCACGGTCGTAAAGGGATTTCAGGGTGTCAATCCCTTCGTACATCTCACTAGAGATACGTACGCGCCACCACGGGCTAGTAAGGAGGTAGGCCTCCTTAGGTGCGCGCGCAGAGTTTCTTACACAACAAGGGCACGGATCTCCCCAGGAGAGGCAGGGTAAGCCTTTCTCCTTAGACCGACGATGCAGCTTATAGGGTGCAACTGTCGGGGTTCTCTTTTCAAACTTATCACGAGCTTTGATAAGTTTGTCGTTCCAAACGTCACGACCTACATCGTCAAGGTCAGGGATGTAAGCGTTCCACGCTTGAAGTAGTGAGGGACCATCACGCTTGTGATTCCCACTGTACCATCGATGCTTGAAGAAAGCATCGATGAAGAACCCATGTTCTGTGTGATAGTTTTTCGCACTAGGGTCAAGGTGATGGATCCTTTGATGAATCGAACAATCGTGTTCGATAGCGATCATTTGTCGTCGCCGACAAGCGATCCATGACAGATTTAGGAGGCATCCATGCTTTCTTCTCGGGAGCGAGACGCAACACGTTGCGATCCCGCTCTTCTTGCGACGTGCCGAAAGAAGTACTGGTACCTCGCTGCGAAGTGGTGTCAATAGGAGAACCGACACCACTGTGAGCGCCCAAGACTTGCGATCTCGAGCGCCTACGCTTTGGCGATAATTCATCTGATTCGTCAGACGAACCAAAGATGCTACGACACTTAGCCTCATCCATGCCACGCTTGGCAGGCGGCTTGGTTTCGATCGCCGTTGATACGGATCCGTCTTCTGTATCAGGAGAGTATGAGACACCGAGCTCATACTCTGTGAAGACATGAGTGTCTTCATGAAGAGCGTCTGCATCACCAGGTGATACAGGCTGAGACGCTTTAGCAACCGATGGCACATCTGTTGCAGCGGTTTCTGCTTGGGCGTCTGCACAAAGACGTGCAGACGCACTCTCAGCGGCCTTGTTCGCGCACCGCATGGACTTGTTAACCATGTGTTAAAACTTTTGGAATGTGGACTCGGACCAACAAGTGCAAACCCTGTCCCAAATGATTTGGGACGAGTATCCATTTCGTCAATCAGTCACTAAAGTGACTGATGGTTAAGGGGGGGGGTGATGTTACCAGTTAAACCGTTACATGACAAATTATAGGAAATTCTTATAGAGCATAACTATAAGAGTTAGATTCTCAGAATATTGTCATAAGAGTTAGATTCTCAGAACATTGTCATAATTTTCTGCAGCATTTACGAGTAGTTCCTAATTGGTTAATTTAGGCCATTATATCAGTCAAAGAAGACGCGCCACGACAGACGCATGCAATGAGTGGTGAGCAGATAGGTGATCTACACATTTGTATTCAGACATAGTTAGATGAGGAAAAATAGTGTTTTATTAAACAGACATTAACTATCATAAATGCAGTTCTACTATTTTCTCTAACCAAGTACTTGCTTCTCCTTACCGTCTTCCTCTGCACGTACGAGTGTACGTGAGGTTACGCGGCACCACCTCATTCTGTCATCAGAATAAGTAGCTTGTACTGTCATCAGTACAAGCTTGAGGGTGCCCCGTTACAGTATCGGCATGCCCTAGGGATGGTTCGGACCTTTGGTCGGTAACGTCGACCGTCTCTCGAAGTGTAAGGCCTCACTAATTACCCTTGCCATTGTTTCAAGTTTGATGCTGCTAAGCCTTAAGTTCTTGCCCGAGTTTCTCTACCGCAACGTTTCAGCAAGTAGTTTGGTTCACCAAGTTATACGCGGCTCGTGAGTGTTTCGATGAAGATCGCAGTCAATTACATTGGAAGTCGAACCACTGCTTATGTATCTAATACAGAGAAGCGCGCAAAAACGCGTCCCCCCTCGATTCGTGTTACATCACTTATGGGATGGGTCGAGGATGAACGGTTTTAGCGTGGCGGGAAATAATTGGATTGATCCTTTAAGGGAAGAGTCTTTGTCGTTATGATCTCGACATCCTCTTGGGCCCTTCTTTTACTACCTCCCCCGGCCTCGCTGTGTGATGTATTATTTCCTAGGGCGTGAGGAGGAGTTTAATCATCAAAACTGCTCGAAGCCCTAAGGATGCCCGACACGGCGTTTCCATGGCTCACACAAAACCAACTGTAATAAGAACCGCATCCAGGCATCTTAGTTCTTCGTATTTTAAACATTTCAATCCGCCCGTTGGATTTAATAAACGTGATGAATTTGTGTACCTCTCTCTTGTCATTTCATTTTCGCGGCTCATTAATTTGACAATCTCTCGGCCCCAAAAAGTTCGGTAACTTCTGAAAACCTAAGTCCTCCCTTTAGAGAGCGATCCATTCTAGGGGACCAACTTCACAAGTGAGAGACTGCAGTCCACTATGAGAGACTAGTATCACCCATGATGTACAGGGGTCTACACCCTAGGAGTTTAAAAATGCAGCTCTGGTTTTCGTGACCCTTATATTAAGCCTGCTTGCGTTTAAACTCTTGTAGAAATACTTTTTAATTCAAATTAAGTCTATCCACTTAGGAGGGGTCTTCGTACCCCTTTGACGAACGATAAATTCTTAATGCTGTCAGCCATTTCGTGTTATCTTACCAGTTCGGCTCTACATTCTCTTCTCGACTTCGTATTCGACCTCTTCCACATCTCATAACCAACTGTCTTCCGGAATTAGGCATTCTTCAAAGTCTTTCCGATCTGTTAGGCCCACTACTCACTCGTTTCCTGGTCAATCATGAAAGTTTCTAACCCGCTTGATCCTGGATATGTGTACAATCGAAAACAGCTAGTAAATCGTTACACGGGTCTCCTTATGTGCGGCATGGTCCTTCACCAACCCCGAAACACGGGAAGTTCCAAACATAAGAAAGACAGTTTTGTACACCTTCTTTTGCTCGATCGCGATATAGTCACACTTGGATCCCAGTTGAATTTTGTGTTCGACCACATATTATCGTCCTGCAGTTGCACTCGCATCCTCTTGATCGCCGGTTCTCTTGCTCGTTGGTACTGGCTTTGAAAGAAGTACCACCACCTTTTAGGTATGACTCCCGACGCCGGACGTTCAATATCAGTAGTTTTTTTACAAGGTGGATCTGGCAGCCCAACCGTGGACAAAATAAAAATAGGCATTTCTTTTCATGCTTGGTCCTGTGCGGTACTATAAACAAGCGTTAACCGCTCTGCGACCGCTCAGTGAACTCAACCCAGTCATGTTTCCTTACGTCCTCAGCATGCTACTTGATAGATATTGTTAGGGGCTGGACCATGTTTTTTGTTGTACCGTTAGCTTTAGGTCGGTAGGCCATTGTCGCTTGTTGACGTTGACGCACCGTGCGGCAATACGCTCAGAAGAAGTCCGACGTGATTACGAGTTTTCGATCGTGACAAATCGCCTTGCTAGCTCCTGATCAACGAATAGCACAAACTTCATTTCCTTCATCGACCGTTTGAGCCTTTCGCGATGCGCCAGCCGTGGCCATAACACAACCGGTGCATAAGACAACTATGGCATAATATTTCCATTAAAATTGTAAAACACATCCTTAAACGCACAAACCCAACAGTCGCCGAGTTGATTCGTCGAAATGGTCTAGTACGCTAGGACAAAATTCTTTTTCGGTTCGTCCCTTCGGGTTTAGTTTTGGCTTTCGGCTAGCCGATTTTTTGCCATCCATTTTTCAAGAAAACTGCCTGAGCTCAGCATCTTCTAAAACATGCAATCCTGTGACTCACACCAATGGATGGATATCGAACTTTCACGCTTTTACAGGTCACGAAGCACAATGTAAGGTCGACTATAAGATTTACGGTGATCTTGGTAAAATAAATACCGGCTCGTCGCTCGACGAGTATGAATGCAGTGCGGCCTAATTGATCACTAGATCGCCGCTCGACCAGAATCGAACGATAACATCAATTGGTTTGACCGGCTCGTCGTCGACGAGGCTTTAGCAGCATCATCTATTAGTTGGCCGGCTCATCGTCGACGAGGCTTTTTTTCCGATAAAAGCGAGTATTTCCACTCCCGGGTCATCTTGATCTCTTAACACTTCCAGTCGATCCTTTTACAAGCTATTTCTCTCGAAGTTCGATGGAAAACATAATCCAGCCCATACAAGGATTCATCGGAAGAGTGCACGCTTAACAAGGACTCGAGCAATTTGCTCTGTATTTATATCCTTTTTTCTGCAAGACGGAGCCTACTGGGGAGCTCTCACTATTCCGTCTACTACTCCCATCCAATTACCTAGTGACTGGAAAGGTCGATCTTCCAGCTGATTCGCCGGAATGGAACTCGACGTGTCTGAAGTAAAAGGTTCTTAACTCGATGAGTCTGGAATCACTGAGTCTTAGCTCGATGGTCTTAAACTCAACGAGCATCATCTCGAGGTATATGTCTTTCAGTATTAGCTTACAGGAGGGATACGTAGTCAAAAATTCCCACCCCGCACAACTGATATCAAGAGTTCCATATCTCCTTTACACGACTGAAGCAGACGGAAAGTGTCCATCGATACGACTTGGAAAATAGAGTTCGCTTCATTGTTATTACATCCCTTACCTTGTAAGGTAGATTCGCCTTTTTAGTCTCACAATTTATGCAAGATCCAACGTATCTCTGCACACTCCAAAACATACCTACAGTGACAGTTAACTTGTATGCATTAGTATGTACGCCCATTTTTGGATTGAGTCCTTCCAAAAAGGCTTGGTAGTAGTGGAGTAATATGGTCTGGTTGCTTTTCGGTTTCACCCGTTTAACGTAATGTCACGGTCTTATACATTGAGCCTAGAGTTTAGAAGATGTACTAAAAATCCTTCCTCACTTACGTCATAATCTGCGTACGCTTTGCCACACTTATTAGTGGATTCCAACAATAGGTTATTTCAGTATCCTTTTCGATACACTTTCAATTATCTGACCGAGCTCTCTTCTTCTTACGCATTTCGTTTTCGGTACACGCGGAGTCGCTGTACAGTCTCCTCTTACGTAATCTCTCCGAAAATCCCAATCGGATACCAAGACCAAACTGCTGCAAATATTTAGCTCGATAATTTCAGATCTTAGGGAATTTTCTTAGCGGTGATAGACCCGAGGCCTCACACTCAAATTCATTTCGCATCTTCCGCACCAATAACTTGTAGTCTTTTCATATACTTAATCGTCCCTACTCGAAAGGTTTCAACAAGCTAAATTTCAACAGCGCATCCTTATATTCTGCCTCATCTACTGTAAATGTATCGGCTTTCCTGGAGGTGGCTTCGACAATGGTATAATTGAAAGTTTCCATACGATAGCGCCAAACGCCTCATCTACATGCTTAAAAATATCTGATGGGCGAAATTTATCATCCGTAATCTTTTGTCTCGTTACGCGGTCGATGTAGGTAGTTCGATCATCTGCTTTTCCTGCTTCTTAGGGGCAAGTGGTCGACATTACTAAGAGTACACTCTATCGAGGAATGACACTGGCTGCCAACTCCCTAGCTCCTGACCTTCATCACTTTTAAACATACTTTCTCCAAAGTCCACTGAGACAAGTGCATCCCAGATTGCTTACCGTCACTGCAAGCCGGTTAATATCACCAACAATGCCAATGTAACGGGTCTTGTCAAGACTTTTAGGAGCTGAGCGAATAGCATATTAAAGCAGGTCTCCAGTTTAAGAAATAGGGCCAATACCTCTATAGTACTTAAGTAAGTAATTAGATCTTGAGATTTTTCTTTTAAAAACTACCGGCATAATCATTCCTTTATAATTCTGCACCAGTGACGCTAATTTGGCCCATTCACTGCATAGACAATGATCACGGATTTTCTAGCTGGGTCGTAGTGTCTTGGAACTGGCGCTGTGGCAATTTTGTTTTTGAGCATGTCAAATGATGCATAAAAAGGACCCATCATTCTATATTTATTCCTGGGAATTGGCATTGTTATCTTCCACAAAATAGTTCCGTCGGAAATGAAAGTTTTGTTCTCTTCATGAAGAATAGTAGCATTCACGACGTAGACCTAAAAAAATCAACTGTAGTAAATTAAGCTTCCCAGAAAATGTTGCATGGCCTTTAATATCATTAGGAGGGTAAGTCGACAATCGACACAAAGGCCATTCGGGCGAGCCTCTCGTCCTCTCCGCAAAGCTTGATGTCCAATAGTCGACTTTTCGGTATCCCCACGGACTCTTGACTACACTCATCGATAGATTCCAGTATTTGCGCTTATTTAACAACAACAGCATCACCTTTGTGCATAGCGAATCCCATGATTCTGTGATATCGTATTTTAATCTATATATGACCGCCGTAACAGGATCGAGAGAATCAACTGTACATCTGGTTCTCCCACCTTGAACAATCCTCGTACCTTGCTGTCATCGCTTCTGAGAGGATTTGTTAGAAATCATGTAAATTTTTAATCAGGAGCTGTTAATGTATTTGGGCGCGTTCTTGAGCCCGAACGGCGTTTGTTCTTATTAGCTGACCTGGTGAGATAATAAATGCCAAAATTCGTCTCGCTAGGTCAGTCATGCCAATTATTCAAAACCACTCGCCATATTCAAGGAGCAATACCGTTACGTCTGGTTTAAATAATCCTGTGGGTTATCAATCAGAGGCATAGGGTATACCATTAGTTAAGTCAGGTCATTTAACAATCTGCATTCGATGCATAGTCTGATTTCTATCCCATTTTTCTACTTAATAATATATATTGGGATGGTCAAGAAGGACGTAGAAGCCTGCATATTCTTTGCCGGTAGCAGTCCCTTGTTCAGATTGGCTAACTTAATCTAAAATTTGGTAGCCATTTAATGTTCGCGTTGCACGATTGGCTCTGCATTTTCTACATCAGTTTCACATATAGTCCCTTGAGCTGCTTGTGGTATGGCATTTACTGTCTCCATCAAGAGATGTCATCTTTAATAAATATTATTTCGTAGCCTATTTACGTCTTCTATGTGTTTACATCCGGATCAGGGATCTACGCATCTTTTAACTCAATATAATCGGAGACGGGGTTTACTTCTGGTATTGAAGGCTCACCTTCGGTATGCCTTTTCGACCCACAGGTCTTCGTATTCGAATGTACACACTTTCTCACCTTTTTGTGGCAATATGTTGGCTTAAGGCCGCGATCGACCGGTGGATCGTCCTTGGGGTCAATTAGTACATGAAGGGTCTCTTCTTCGCGTGACTGTTCTTCTATCACTGGTAGCTCTTGTTGCTATATGTTCGTCATAGAGACTGGGGTATTCGACTGCTGCAGAATACGCAACATCACCTTTTCTGCGACGTCTCCACCATTGTTGTCTCGTCGTTTCCCTCAAGGTCAACTTGGGGGTCGACCTGGTCGGCGGTGGCTTCGTACGCCATATTATTCCACTCAGCGTCCCTTTAGAACCTACCTAGACGAAACTTTGTGCTCTTGGTACTTAATTTTTCGTTAGCCACATGCCTATGTTTGTAACATCATTTAGCTATAACGTGTGGGGCTGAAGTGGGTTACATTCAGCAATTTTAGCCTTTCTATTCTCCGGAGTACAGGTGTAACCCATCGCTCTTCTCTCGAGACCCACATATTCCATTGATCTGAGATTGACCTTTTAAGAGTATTCTCCACGTATTTATCAATCAATATACGGGCTTATATTCTCAACTTCAAGACCTGCGACTCGATTATCGCAAACAATAATTTTTCCGGAGAGCTGTATCCGGACTTCGTTAGGGAGACAAAGTGTTTTATCCGCCGTATATAGCCGAATTTTCAGCCAATACCATGAAGTCCATACTGTATATTGCACCCTGATTTATTAAAGAACCTACACGCCTCAACATATACACTATTTATCAATTCAGGGGGACATAAATTTGAGTGCGCCGTTTAGTTGAGTATACCAAATCTCAAATATCAATGCATTCTTAAGCGATTACTTACTTCAATATGGTAATCTAACTTACAAATAAGGCGACATCCGAATAAACATCTTGGCGCCAGTATCGATACTCATCTTTTTTCGCGATCGTTGATGATTTGTTATACAGCATTTGGCTTGTTTAGGTCACTTAGTTGGGGCGTGGTATTTTAGTTAACCTCGGATTTCTCCAAACATTATTATAATCTTATCATACCCTTTTTTGGTCAACGTTATCAAGTTTACTGATAGACACAACATGGATCAGTTTGTTTTTCAATCTTCGATATGTTTTCGATACTCACAATGAAGAAACTCCTATCTTTCTTATAATCTTATCGTTCCCTTTTTGTTGGTCAACGTTTTCAAGTTTACTAAAGAGACAAAACATAGATCAGTATTTTTTTCAATCTTCGAAATGTTTTCGGTACATACAATGGAGAAACTCCTATCTTTCTCGGAATGCTTTTTCACAATACACAGACAAGAATTTGAAATCTCGAGTAGTATCAGATTGAAACCTGAGGAGTGTGATAATTTATCGCCTTCTTCGCTCTCTCGGGCAACATTCCGGCTTGCTTGGTGGGGTGAACCATTGATAAATTAAGTTGTTAAAGTACTCCAACTGGTGCTTCCCCGCATCATGAATCATTTTTAATACCCTACATACGAAAAATTAGCGGTCCGATGGAAGTACTTTATTTCTGCAGTGATCACAGGTCATTATCTTCCAGCATGCTGTGAATGCATCGTACATTTGACTCGGTTGACCTGTTGCGGGTCTGGAACTTCTACTTTTTTCTACTATCAGTCGATGTCTCTTGAGGGCCCTAGCGGTTTTTGGCCGTCTGTTCCCCTTCGAACTCGCCTCTTTCAGTGTCGCTTGAATTACATGCACCGAACGCCAGTTACATCTTAATACGATCCGGAGGTGCATGTAACTTCTGCCGGAGATTGCTGGAACCAGAAACGTTTTTCAACTTTGTACTTCGTCTTCTGGCTGCCTCTAATACTTTATTTAATTCTTCCACATCTGCCAGGCGTAGCATCGTCAATTGGTCTGCCAACTTTAAGCCGTCAACGGTATTGATGAAATGCTCAACGTGATTAATTCCGGTGTTGAGCACGACATTCTATATCTTCAGATCCACCCTGATATCCATTACTCTCAAAAGACAATTGAAGTACAAACGAGGATTCGTCTACCCTATCATTTGCGTGGTAGCTTGGCGGATAACTGGTACCCCCAGATATAAAATAAATACTGCATCTGAAATTTTTGTATAAGGTACTTCAATTTTCTGAGACGTAGCGCGCGATTGGAGGTAACAGTTCTGAGCCGGCCTGATTAACAATTCTTTCAAGATCAGACAGTTTCTGGTGTCTGGTGCTTGGCACTTTGCGTAGGCTGTAATGGGGTAGCCCGTTACATAATATTGATGCCGAACGGTGACAATAGGGAGATTGCTTAGCGTGACAATTCCCTGCCAATTTTATCCGGGATGGATAATATCAAGGATTATTATCCCTTTGTATGACATTCATGCGCTGCTCAAAGACTGGTCGTTATAAGACATATCAACCATAGATTGCCATCAATCGCTGCTAGACGCGCACAATGAGTGGTGAGCAGGTTGTCGTCATACGACGACGTAGTTTAATATAGTTAAATTAAGATTAAAGTTATATTGATAGCTTAACTATACTAAATACAGTTCTCTTTTTACATTTACTAAAACGAGTCGTTTAAGTAGATTAGCTTCCTCCGCACGTACTAGTGTACGTACAGTTTCGTGGCACCCCAAACAAAGGGTGCCCTGTTACACCTGGTAGCACTTTGTAGTCCATCCAACGACTACTTAGTGTCCGTCCAACATGAACATGTTGGACGTAGAAGACGACAGCTTTCACGTCACAAGTGAAGGCTACTCTCATCTGAGTGACTCGGAATGGGAGGTAGTCGGCCGCATCAGTGTGCTCATGGGCAAACCCGCCATCAGTGGCATGTTGGAGTGTCTAAGCTGAGACTAGCAACATGCTGCTATCAACAAGTTCCCACAAGGGGAAATTGCCGTCGAACGACAGAAGATAGCCTTGCTGTTGTAGCAAGGCTCTAATCAGTCGATGGGCGGGCCGATGCACTCGCGTTGACCCGAAATATTGAAGATTGATATCTCAAGGTACAAGGTAACCGATCAAGCTTCCCTTTTGAGATGGTTAGTCGAGTAGATGATGCCATCAGGGCCCGTCACATAGAAGTTGACGAGATGCAAGTCACCTTCGCCCTGTCAAATTTGACGGGACGAGCAAAGACTTGGGCCTTAGGGCTCAAGCCTTACGACCCTAACGTGTTTGAGTCGTTGGAGATCTTGAAGTATTGGCTCAAAGAGGCGTTTGAGCCGCCGAGAGCCGAATTCAGAGCACGCTCTGCACTCTTGAGGCTAAAGCAAGGTAAGCGTGACGTGCAAGCTTACGCACAGCACCTGCGCTACCTTGCGAGTAGCTTCATGAAAAACCCTGTTGATGAGCACACGATCATCAACGTTTTCATCTACGGCCTTGTGGACTGGCCGGTGAAGACATACATGTTCCAAGAGGACTTCCATACACTGGAAAGGGCGATAGCGTATGCGGAACAAGAAGACTTCAGCCTAATACAGTCTTAGGCTATATCGCCAATCAATCATCCGACGAGACGACAGGAAACAGGAGGTCCCGAACCAAAGGACCTCAGTTGCATCGAGAGTTATCATCGACGAGGATGACGGTGTGCCTTGCTACAGGAGCATCCGTAACAGTGAATAAACGTGCAGTGGCATTTCACTACACGATCCAAGGATCGCAGCACGATTATGACTTCGTCGTTCAAGATTTGGATGACAGATTTAATGTCATCCTCCGTCTGCCATGGCTCAGAAGATACGACCTATGGATCAGCTGGCAGCATCTATCTGTGAAGATGCCTGCAGTTTGTTTATCGGATGGCCATCTGATGAACGTCTTGGAGCGTCCACAAGCGTGTGGATGTACTAAAAGTGAGTGCGATGGCCTCACTTGTAGTACGGTCGTTAGTAGGATTGCACAAGATCACAGTGTAGAAGGCCACTGCAATGTGGAACCAGCTTCCGGCACCGGCGTAGAGACACAGGCTGCGCCGAAGGTTCACCACTCGAAGAGATCGAGTGGACTGGAACACGGATGCACACCAAGAAGGATGCATCCGAGAAGAGAGATTAGTGTTGTTCAGGATGAACAACACGTTAAAGCGAGATCGACTATCAGAGAGTCGATCGTCGAGCAAGCCCGATCCACTGAAAGAGAGTCGATCGAAGAGGCCGTGGCTGTGGCAGGGCACCCACAGTCATTACACGTATTGGAAGAAAAATCCAGCATTCCTGAGAGCAACAACTCCCGAGAGAGTTATGTTGAGGGTCCGTTTACCCAACCACCTGCAGATATGTTTTCCCAGGAAATGACCGAGACCGCGGATGTCTTGGTAAATGACGGATTTAGTGTAGGCGCTTATACACTTTATATGGTTACGCCCCCGAAGTCAGCTTTGTAGGTAATCAAGTTGCCAACACTAGAATCTAAAAGATTCTTGCGAGATCTGCACAGTGACAAGATCAAGCAGATCTGTGTACTCGTCAAAGAGGACGAGTACGTCGCCGATATTCGGTCGCCACAAGTGCTTCTGAGAGCGAACGGGTTCTCAGTAGCTCATAGATGGACAAGAGTGTCCTCGATGAGAAGACCTGGATTGAGCGATACACGTATCAATCTTGGGAGTCTTTGAAGACAAATCCTTTGTGTAATGCTTTGATCGAATACAGGGATGTTTCCCCTGAACCCGTGCCATGCGATCTGCCCAAGGCCAAAGGCACTCGGCATCAGATCGAACTGAAACCTGGTTCGAAGTACTGTTTCATGAAGCAGTGGATACTGTCTCGTGAACAGGTCACAGCTATCGACAAATTCTTTGCCGATCGATCAGCGGCTGGTCATGTGAGAAGATCTACATCCCCACACAGCTCTCCGACCTTCTGTGTGCGGAAGGCCACAAGAGGGTGGCGGATAGTGCACGCGTTCAACAAATTGAACGCTGTAACGGTACCGGCTTAGACGCCGATACCGACGAAAGACGTCATAATTAATGGTATGACAAAAGTACCATCTTTTCGTCCATGGATCTGATAGATGGATTCTACCAGATCCTCACGCGTGAACGGGACATCCCGTACACAGCAGTAATCACCCCCAGTGGTATGCTCTGGGAGTGGCTAGTGATGCCACAGGGGCGAAGTAACGCCCCTACAACGTTTAACAGATGCGTTACGAATCCATTGCGATCGGTGCGCAATTTCGCACCGAGTTACTTCGACGATGTCTTCATCTGTAGCCGGGCTATGGATGGAAAGAAGGACGTGGAGGGTCATAGAATCCACGTCCGAAAGGTTCTTACTCAAATGCGAAGCATAAGTTAGTTCGAGAATCCTAAGAAGTGTGTATTCGCAGCGAACGAGATACCACTTCTTGGCTTCATCGTGGGTAAAAACGGCGTACGCCCTGATGACTGTACATCTCTCTCGTCTGTTAAAAAAACGGGAGGTGGTCATGGAGTGCTGAGTGTCAGCACTCCTTCGAAAGTATCGAGAAAAGCTTGATATAATTGCCTGTGTTGGCGAATGTAGACCAGGACAGACCATTCCATGTGGTCTGTGACGTCAGCGATTTTTTAATCGGCTGCGCGCTAATGCCGTACGACTCAGACGGCGTTGATCGCGTCGTCTGTTATTAATCGCGTCAGCTGCAAGCAGGGACGCAAAATTATCCGGTGCATGACAAGGAACTCCTTGCCATGAAATGTGCACTGGCTAGGTTTCGGGTATATCTATTAGGAGATGGTCCCTTCATCGTTTACGCCGACCATGAGTCGTTACGCACGGCCGTAAACAGTCCACACCTATTTGCAACGAATGGCGAGGTGGCTGTCTTTCTTCGAGGAGTTCAAATTCCTTGTCTAGTCTAAAACAGGATGACTTAATGTCGTCGCTGACACTCTTTCGCGTCGGCCCGTTTTCGAGCCGACTGCTCCACCCAATAATGGGGGTGATCCCACTGTAGCAACACTATCAGTGAGTGTTCCGTTGTCGAATCTGCTCGACGATGTGCGGAAAGCATACGCAAAATATGAGTCTCCTCTGCGATTAATGGATTGCGTGTCTAATCCATGCAGTCAAGCTTTGAAAAGCTTGTCTTCTCAATACCGCTCTACAACCGAACGGCATTCATTTCGTGATGGACTGCTGTACTATACAGCAGTCAACGGCGACACACCTCGTGTCGTCGTTTCGGATCATAATGATCGGCGATAGTGCTTCATGCATCAGTGTCACGATGCCCCAACAAGTGGGCATCGCGATAGAGAAAAGACTTACCTCACGGTAAGTCGTGACATTTAATAGCCACGCAAGTATTAGTTTGTGCGCAAATACATTCGCGCTTGCGAAGTTTGTCAATGGGTGAAGACTAGTAATTCATCTCGTGCACCCTTGCAGTCTCTACCGATTCCGGCAGAGTGCTGGCAGTCCTTATCGATGGACTTCGTCTTTGGGTTTCTCAAAGACGCTCACAAGAATTCCGGTTTTCTTGTGTGTGTTGATCGGATCAGCAAGAAAGTGCATCTTGTTGCTGTAACGGAGTCAATCACAGCCCAGAGCTGTGCGCGTGTCTTCACCGATCCTGTATTTCGACTTCACGAATTACCTCGTGGACTCGTGTCTGACAGGGACCTTCGCTTCACAGCGGAGTTCTGACAATCCGTGTTCCGTTCACTTCGAACACGTTTGAAGATGTCGACTTCTGACCATCTAGAAACAGACGGTCAGACAGAAAGCGTCAACCGCGTCCTCGAGGAGATACTTCGAGGGTACGTCCACTCGTTTACGAGCTGGAGTGATTTCTTGCCGATGGCGGAATTTGCCATCAACAACTCGGTACATGCTTCGACAAAGCATACACCGTTTTTGTGAATGGCCTACGCCATCCACGTTTACCCGCCTTCTTAGAGTGTGACTATAGTTTAAGGGGGGGTGGACTCGCTCGAACTAAAACCGATCTGGTTCTTGCTCATCACATGTCGACGATGGTGTCGACGTGATGGATGCCGATGTCGATGCGATCGATATCGGTGACGACGATGCTTGTACAATCAGCACCGCTAATGACTGCTACAGTGAGAATGAAGCCTTCACTGGTGAAGACGACGTTCTTTCAGCAGTGCACTCAAAGCGCACTGCTGTTGACAAGGATGAATCATCAGAGTAATTTCTGCTGACTCGCGAAGCGGTTGTCCGATTCGTTCAAGACTCTATTGCAGATACAATATACAAGCAGAAAAGAAACGCAGACAAACATGGAAAAGTAAATGTTCTTTCATTTGATGAAGGAGACTTAGTTCTACTGTCTACAGTAAATTCACTAGAACACGCAGTGAAAGAAGTGGACAGCAGTAAATTACTGCCCAAGTATATCGGTCCATTTCGTGTGTTGCGCCGAATGGGCAACGCGTACACTATTGAACTGCCTCGTAGGATGCGTATGCATCCTATCTTTTACGTTGGTCGTCTCCGCCTGTACTACCAGTACAAGCCCGTTTCGAGAGGTGAAGAACACCTCCGCGGTCAAGGGCAGAGACCACCTTCGAGTGGTCCCGTTTAAACGAGCCAGTTTGGTCGACTAGCGAAGCGACCTGTTCACGCAGCTCAGCGATGTCTCGACGAGCAGCAGCCATCTCATCACGAAGAGAACGAGTCGAACGTTCGTTCTCAAGTTGCGCGAACGCAAAAGCGGCACGATCGTCCGAACGATCGTGCGTTAGTGAATTATGATGATCCCTCACAAGATCCTCAAGCCCCATAACGCCGAGATCGTTCATGAGCCAGGTCATCTTGCAGCTGTTCCGCTAGACGGTTCAGCTTTTGAACCTTAAGTTGATCCGGCCCTCGATCCGGATCAGGTGTTCCCGCCACCACCACATCCTTTAAAGGACTCAAGCGGTGGTCAACGCTTCCTAGTGGAGCGTATTTTGAACCACCGCGATGTGAATGGCGTCCGGATGAGTTACCTCGTCCACTGGCGTAACTATTTACCGGCCTGTGACAGCTTGGAGCCTCGTGCCCAACTGTTTGTTCATGTCCTTAATCTCGTCGAGAAATGCGACGAGATCCACCCACTGCGTTCGAAGAAGGGCCGCCGAAAAAAAAACTATCCGAACGCGAGTACAGGGATTGTTAAGTGTCAATCCGTTAGGCCATCTTGGAAGAGATGCGCGCCCTCCAGTAGGGATTATTAGGATGGTAGGATTCCCTAGGGGCACGGATCGAGTCGTCCAGGCAACCTGGACGCGAATCACCCCACGAGAGACAGGGCAATCCTGCCTCTCTTGACAATAGCTGCAACTTGTATCGCACACAGACTGGGTTACGCTTCTCAAACCTGATGTGAGCTGCATCAAGTTTACCGAGCCAGGCCTCATGGCCAATGCACTCGATGTTGTGGATGAGGGCATTCCATCCCTGCACCAAGGCTTTGCCGTCTCGAACACGGCTTCCATTGTACCACCGGTGTTTGAAAAATGCATTGGTGAAGAACTCTTCCTCAGCAC